ACAACCAAACACTTGGAATGGCTACGAGGGGACGCGTTCCTTCTGCGAATGATGTTGTGGAACCAAAACGCATGAACCAAGGCTGCAGCAGTCACTCAACCAGTTATGTCAGCACTTTCAACAAAGTCGCTTGACTTGTCTTTGGGAAGTTGGAATGTGACACCTAATTCAACTCATTCATACTAGCTGAGGGTGTCTCTTTCCACCCACCATGTGTGGCGTTCCAAGGTTGAAAGATCAAATTTCCACGCCTGCGGCAGAAAGGTAATGGTGGTGGTGGTGATGGTCGCGGTGGTGGCGGTGACAGTCACCTCCGGAGGCACGCCTTCCCTGCATTGCACCGATTGCCCACACACGGTCGGACAGCCCCCCGTCTGCTGCAGCTGCACCTCGGAGTATGGGGGAAAAGCCGTTTGCGAGGCTTTCAAGGTCCTGAGTCGAATGACAAACTTTTTGGCTCTGTTCAAAAATGATGGACGAAGCACAAAGTTTGCCTTTGCCATCAAGGACCTGAATCAGATGAAGAAAGGTTATGGAACTTTCTGGCCCTGTACAAAAAACGATGGAAGCAGCACTCGGAGTTTGCCAACTCGGGCAGGGCCGGGCAAGCCAGCACACAAGTCAACCGACGAAGAAATACGCCGAACCGATGTCTTCCGTTTGGTCTCAGCAAGCATAGGGATCTGCCATAGTCTACCAGAGCAACCCAAAACTAATGTCCCAATTGCTGATTAGATTCAACTGGTTTCACCACTCGTTTGCAAGGGCGAAGCGTGGTCCATTTAAGGAGAAATCTGCAACCCTTCTCCCGTAGCACAGCTCATTGTTGCAAGGTCCAACGAGAACAAATCTTGAGACACACCTAAGAAATTGCATTCAAGCTTATCAAGCAAGCACCTGTTTCCTTCACATCCAACTAGTGGCGTTATCTTCTTCTTTTTAATCTGGTCTGCCCACGGCCAAAAATAGGTGGCTGAGCTTCCACTAGCGCATTTGATGCCGCTGATAATATCACCAGTGACCATTCCCCTCAAAACTAAAAGGGAAAACTATTATATACAAGGGCTTCAAGAATTAGAATGGGGTTGTAGAATATGCTGAAACCAAACTTAGTCAGTTTTATAGACGTAAACACATTTGACACCATCGCCTTAAGCTGTGGAAGACTGAAGACTAGACTTGGATGCTCGACAAACTGGCTTGACCCGCCCAGAACAAAAGGAAGGACCACCCCCCCAAATAAAAAAAAATGCACTGCACATGCATGTGTGAGTGTCTCTTGTAGGGCTCCTAGGGGTGACCTTAACGTCAAACCAAAGGGACTGGCCAGAAAAAGTATACAAGTTCTCGGCTAAAATGATGACGACCACAAAAAGCTTCAAGTCCGCCAACAGGTAAACTTTGGTGTCAAAAAAGGGACTCTGGCAAAAAGGACACCTCCTTCAACTTTGGGTTTGGGACTTCAAAGTCATGGGCTTTTGCCCCAAATCCTGGAAAAGAGTTGTGATTCTTCCCATCTTTCCAGGGTGAGTTTGCAAGATCATGGGCTTTTGGACCGGATCCTGGACAAAAAAGCGCCGTGAGCAATCCCCCTCTCGTCTTCCCACCGACCGCCTGCTCCCCCAGCGACGCGTCCAGTGCTTGGCCCGCGCCCGCGCTCGCGCCCGTTTTGGCGGCGATGAAGAACGCCAGCGCCAGGCCCAGGCAGACCGAGGCACCGAGACGGAGGCCGCGGACCTCACGCGAGGCATGGGATGGGCGCGTCCTTTTTTTTCGAGCCTCGGCGTGTGTGTCTGTGCGTGTCTGTGCGTGTCTGTGTGTGTGTGTGTGTCTGCGTGTTTGTGTGTGTGTGTGTGTGTGTGTGTGTGTGTGTGTGTGTGTGTGTGTGTGTGTGTGTGTGTGTGTGTGTGTGTGTGTGTGTGTGTGTGTGTGTGTGTGCTGTGTGTGTCTGTGCGTGTCTGTGTGTGTCTGTGTGTGTCTGTGTGTGTGTGTGTGTCTGTGTGTGTCTGTGTGTGTCTGTGTGTGTGTCTGTGTGTGTGTGTCTGTGTGTGTGTGTGTCTGTGTGTGTGTCTGTGTGTGTGTGTCTGTGTGTGTGTCTGTGTGTGTGTGTGTGTGTGTCTGTGTGTGTGTGTGTCTGCGTGCGTCTGTGTGTGTCTGTGTGTGTCTGTGTGTGTCTGTGTGTCTGTGTCTCTTTGTCTGTGTCTGTGTCTGTGTGGTGTGTGTGTGTGTGCTTTAAGGGACACCAAAAGAAAAAAAAACACCCATCTTGGGATCCCCAGTCCCCCCTCCCCCCAAACAAAAAAAGAGAGAAAAGAACGAGACAAAACGACAACACGACGCGGGCATGCTCAAAGAAGCCTCTACTTTGTTGTCTAAACCCCTGTCGACCTCGGATTTTCAGTTGTTATTCTTTGGAATAGGGAAAGCTTCCAAAGTTGAGCCGGATCTTCAAATGGAAGACCTTAAAATGAACCATGGGGTTAAAACAAAGCCTGGGATCCCATAGACACACTGCCTCCGTTGACCCAGCAAGACTCCGCTCAAAGACCCGGTAGGCCCGGTTCTCTGATCAAGGTTTGGTCGGGCTTATGAAGTTGTTGCTTGCTTCTTTTCCAAACGATAAATCAAGGAGGCCAACAACCAACACCGCACACTCACCCTTTGAGGAACCCCCAAGTGTCGCCTCGAAAAAGCGTGCGATAGTTTGCAGCCAGAAACAAATTGGCTTCTTAGCTTCCTTGAGAGGGAACCTCATGCCGCTCTTCACACGCACCATTTGGTGCAAGGCAAAAACTCCATTCGGTTCGGAGCCTGAGCTGGGAGGGGGGGGGGGGGTATGGTTCGCTCTCAGCATGAGTCTCAGTCTCACCCCATGCGAATCGAAGTTACCGGCTAACTGTCTTTGCGTTGTGAGTCTAGTTGAAACAACCCAACAGGGGCATCCTCCCAAGGCGTCACAACCACAGGCATTCCCCAACGGGGGTTGCCCAAGTAACGGACACCATAAGAAAAAAACAAAAACAACTCCAGGTCGCCTTTCAACCGGGCAGATCCATTTCTTACGCGGCGTGCTTCTTTTTCTTTTCTCTTCAAGGCCCAGGCAGGACTTCAGCGAATCGCTCGTGGATCAACAGTCCAGGGGTCACTGGACTTCCGCAAGCGCAAACTTGTAGTTCTTATTTGTGGATTCCAACAAAATCGCTGAGCTGGAGGTCCATGGAAAAACCCCTGCAGTCTGACCTGGAATTCGCCATCCAAAACCAAATGCGTAGTCTTCGTGTGGGCCTCACCGGTCTCTGAGTGCAAGCAGATTCGTGACGGCTTCCCTTTTTGGGGCCTTGCGCGGGTGCCTACCAGGATCGAAGTAGATGGCACAAGTCCGTTCCCACATGAGAAGGGAATTGTGCCATCTACTTCCTCCCTAATGTTTACCCCGGATTAATAAACCCCTGGTTGATTAATAGGGGCGTGTCCCCTTTTAGTGGGGCTTCATCACTTTTGGAGGGAGCACCCCTCTAATAATGGGACGGGTTTATTCATCCTGGGTCAACATTAAATTCTGACCCTACTCTTTGAGCCAAGCTGCACTTGGAAGCGAGCCCCTCTCGATTAGCACCTGGTCCTCTTCAGCTTCTTCCGTCTCATCGCCGGTTACGGGCGAGTCGGGCGAATGCAGCGCCATTGCCATGAAGGTGCTTGCCGACGATTCTGTCGCGTTTCGTCTGAAGGTGCTGGTTGGAATCATCTCTCTCTCTCTCTCTCTCGCTCTCTCTCTCCCCTTCCGTGGCGGCATCCATACATGTTATACACATCCATGTTGCTCATTGTGTGCATACCTGGACCCTGCAATGATGTTTTTTGTTCAGTTTCCCCTGAAAAATTGACGCAGCACCCTGAACACATGACTCGAAAGCAGCAAAACCAACGCAAAAGCAACGCAAAACGAGCCAAAGTTGTGTCGTTGAGTTGCGTTTTGGGTCTTCGCCTGAAAAACGTGAAAGCCTCGGGAAAAAGAGTCTTTTGAGGGGTCCAGGTATGTCTTGTATGGCCACTCTTGTTGGAGCTCTGTTGGGCCGCGGTTGAGCCAATACCTTGGCGAGCAGAACGAAGCAGCTACTCTCCGGACAAACCAAAACGCGATGAAGAAACCCTGGTTGACTCCCACGAGGCGACCCATCTGAAGGGAACCACAAACTTGTCCTTGAAGAAGTCTCTTTTCCCCGATCCATCTGTGCAGAAGTCTCGTTTTGGAGATACGACATGGCGGAAAATCGGCTTACTTCGTGTATACCAAAGTCCGCACCCACGGGAAACGAGGTCCATGGACTTCGGGGCGAGAACAAAGCCGCCTGCAAAAGGCACAGCGGTCAAGCATCAGACTGTTTGTGTTGTGGCTTGCGGCGAGCCTGCTAAAAAGAAATCAAAGAAACACCGTCGCAAACAGGACATCACAATTCAACCAATGACTTTGCAAGTTCCCCCATTTTGGAACCAGATCCAACCATTTTTCTTCATGCGTTTCCATCTTCAATATGGAATAGGCCACATGGCATGTGGCCATCTCGCAGTTTCCCCAAAGCAACTTCCAAGGGCACAACGGGGGCCAGGTTCGCCAGGCAGCCAAAAGGCCAAACAATCATCGGAGGGGTTACACATCTAGGCTGGAATTAGGACCTCAGCAACAAATTATCTGTTTTGCCTGGTTAGTGGAAAACAAAGGGACCCCAAAAATGCAAAAAAAAAGGAGCTAATTCTGGGGAAGAAATTGTCGGGGTTCCCAGTAGAACTGCAAAACCCGCGCTGATTCCAAAACATGAAAGCATTGGATCCACCACAGCCTCATCATCAGTAGTGGAATCGATTCCCTTTGCAAACAAATAAAAATCATCCCAACAACATATTTTGCCCCTTTGCAACCAAACATATTCATTTCAGTCTGCATTTCAGCCAAGGTAAGCCCACTGAGCACGGCTCTCGCCCGGCTCTCGCCCGGCTTCTGCCTCAGCGGCGGTTCTCGGCGCGGCAGAGGTCTGCACCTCGCACACCGTGCCTCGGGCGGTGGGTGCTGGAGCCGAAAGCGGCGGGGGTTGGTCCCGTAGGACCTGGACCCTCAAACTTCCCTAAGACATGAGATGACCCCTCCAATCTAGGCAATTTGCAATAAATCTTACCTCGTCACCTCGTTGCTAAATAAGGTTTTGGAGTGTGCGCCTCGCCTCGTTAAATCCGTGGTCACCTCCTCACCTCGTCTCGTTAAATCCCTCGTCACATCGTAACTTTGTAGTACAAGTCTAGCACGCGGATAGTTGCCTAAAGTGCTGAAAAACTTCTCAGGCTCCGAAAAGTTTATTTTGCGCTTTGGCAGCCCCGAGCCTTCCAACACCAATGCCACGTTCCAGTACACTTCCACAGCTCCAGCTCGAAAAACTCAGTTTTGTAGCACAAACCTAGTGCAAGAAGCGCGCTTCCACGACTCGTAGTACAAGCCAAGTACAAAAAAGTACGCTTCCGCAGCTCCAGCGCGAAAATCACAATTTTGTAGCACAAGCCTAGTGCAAGAAGCGCGCTTCCACGACTCGTAGTACAAGCCAAGTACAAAAAAGTACGCTTCCGCTGAAAAACTTTTCAAGCTCCGAAAAGTTTACTTTGCGCGTTCGCGGCCGCTAGCTGCCTGCAGGGTCGCTTATTTCCATTCTGAGGGCTGGCAGCCCCGGATAGCTGCCTGGAGTGCTGAAAAAACTTACAAGCCCTGAAAAGTTTATTTTGCGCTTTGGCAGCCCCAAGCTTGCCAACAACAACGCCGCGTCCCAGTACAAGTGCGCTACAGGAAACTTTGGCAGCCCCAGCTCGCAAACACCAATACAATGTCCTAGTACAAGTCTGCTATATACATGGAATACAATATGCAATGCAGTATGGTTCATTAAATTGAGCTCTCAAAACTATTCATTTTTCCGCCGCTATGCCGTTTCCGGAAATTTTGTTCCGTTTGTTCCCCACTCCAAGCACACCTTGGAAAGGATCCTTTGCATTTCCGGTTGCCGCTGGATCCCAAATAACAGCAATGTCAGAATATCTTTCCATGTGACCCTGGCCAAAGGCAAGTGGCTGGCCTTTGTTGTGTCAAAGGCTTTGCTGAGGGGTTGCCGGAAACAATGAGACTAGGGGTGCTCTGGGAAGGCTACGGGAAGGCTACGGGAAGGCTAAGGGAAGGCTACGGGAAGGCTACGGGAAGACTATGAGAAAAAAAACTTTGCAGGGCCCAAAAAGTTCTTTTCCCCAACAATCACCTCTGACCGTATAAAATATCTTTTTGGTCCCTGAAAAGCTTTTTCCTGCTGTGGGACCCTCTCCTGCTGCATCTACGTGTGCACCTCGTTGTTCTGAATTTAGTTAAATCACCTCGCTTAAAATATTTGCTCCACCTCGCACCTCGGCTGACCTCGCTCTAAATTGCCTAGCTCCAATGTCCCCTGGGTATAAAAAAACCCAGTTCAGTTCAGGGCCCCTTGAAATCAACTCAGGGCCCAAAAATCATTGGGAGCCTTAGGGTATCAAGAATATGCGTTGACCCCAACATGACCCCTCAAACATCCTCAAACCATCGTTTTGACCCTTCAAACATCTTGCTGGTGCTCGGAAGAAATGACCCTTAAAAACCGTCCAACTGGTGGTTTCCTTTAAGGGACATTCCCACATTCCCTACAGAGCACCAGCAAGAACTCAAACTACCAATTGAAATTGGCTTGCCCCTGACAGCAAACTGGCTGGTTACCTACCCTCCATTTGCTTTTTCGCCCCCTAGGAAAATTGACAAAATAGTTCCACTAGTGATAGATTCCCTTCACAACCAACAGGGGGAAAAAAACATATTCTTCGTCAATGGACGATTTCCGGTGATGTTAGAGGGGTGCCATGAGGCCAGTTATGTGCAGCTTGCACCTCATTTGATGGACTTTGGGGATCATCACCACGAAGGGGTGTTGCATTTGTGGGAAGAACCAAGAACGATGTTGAAACAACTGGGGCTTTCCATGATAAACCTCCAAGCTGTCGAAACTCCCGACACGCCTTCCAACTTCTAAAGACCCCCCAGGGTAGGGCCTTATTTGGCGTGGCCCAGAAATTATTGACACTATCGAAAGGACACCCAGCCGCAAAGTCCAAAAGAAGTCGCCACAGACAAGTTTGCGCGTAACATGTCAAATGTCAAGAGGTGAACCTAGGAAACCCAACAAACAGAAAAACGCGTCTTTCTTTTGAGCCGAGGTACCCCTTTGCGTGGTTAAAGGAAAACCGAAAGGAAAACCGTTGCCGCGGTTTTGGGGACCCGGTCCAAATCCTTGAAAACAAAAAGGCCCAACGCTTGGTTGCGGTTGACCCTTCTGCAAAAAGTGTTCAACTGATCTGTGGGTCTGATGAACACATCCATTTCCCAAAAAGTGGAAGTCCCAAGATCCGTCACCAAATCGCCACGAAGAAACAGGTTGGTCCCGCAATTTCCCGCGCTTTTGGCCCTATTTCACTGGAACCCAGCAAGTGAAAGCCACATCTCTTTGGATCTTCTTGCAGCTTCTGTCCAATCCTTGGCATGCAAAAGACTTTCCTAAATGGCAGCCTAAAAGTACCCCGAGACCCGGTTCGCCCGGGCTGACCGACAAGCCAACTGTTTAGGAAGTTTAGGTCTTGGTTTAGGGTCAAGTCCCAATTGCCATAAAGTGCCTAAAGTCCAAAACGGGACTCAGGAAGTGAGATGTCGTCACCTATATGGCCATGGGCTTTTCAAAATCCAAATCGGTTAGCCCCCAGTGAACATCCCAATCCCCACTAAAACAGGTTCTAAAATGGGTGGTGCAGCTACCCAAAAATGGTACCATTGGTTTTGACCCACAGCCTTCCCTCTTGGATTGAATTGGTGGTGCGGGGCTTCAAATCAATCCACTCCCCAGCCTCCTTTTGCTTTTGAGCGGACAAACATGAGAAACACACGAAGAAAAATGAGAAAGAACACCTGAGAACAAAATGAGAGAAAAGCATGAGAAAGCAAACAACTCCAGTACCCTCCCACCAACTAACATGGAAGTGCAAAAAGGTCCTTTCCAAGAGGAAGCATAGTCTAGGGGCCTTTTTGCACTTCCATGGAATCGCTGGTGGGAGGCTAAGATTACTGTTTTCTTTCCCCCCGGTTGGTTTTAAATGGAATCTGTCACTGGAAATATGTTCGCTGGGGTAGTGAACTCCATTCCCTTTGGCCCGGCGTGCGTCCGGCCCGGCGTGCGTCGCTGGGACGCCCGTGCGGTAGACCGGCAGCTGCCGCTCCGCGAGGCGCCGGAGCAGAGACTCCACCTCGCGAAGCGGCCGATTTGCGCCGAGCACATGGAGCACCTCTCAGGAATCCTGCCCAACGTCCTGGAAGTCTTGGTTGCTGCAACGACCCCCCTGCACATTTTTTGTTCAAGCTTCTTGGAGGGTTTAGTGGAAAACGCATCTTGATGTACCAAACAGTTGAAGTCTAAAGATCCAACCCAGTAGCAGTCAAAAAATTGTCTGGCATGCTTGTCGCCAGTGCAATGACGTATCCAGCACCATCAGCGACGCAGGCCAGACTTCCGTCGCATCCAAACGTGCCACATTCTTCTCACCAAGCAGCCGCGATATGTGCTCGGGAGCATGGCCCTTTGTTATAAGCCCGTTTGCCAGCACGAGCGGGATTCCCAGCTACTTGAGCTGCTCTTCAACACCCTCTGCTGTACGGACCAAAGGCACTGATCCATTCAGGCGTCTTCCTGCCTACAAAATTGCTCACTGCTCCCCTGGGGTTTCCTGGGGTTTCCCTTGGGCTTCCTTTGGGTTTCCCTTGGGTTCCTATGAGTTCCAAGGGTTTTCTTGTTGTTGTTGTTGTTGTTGTTGTTGTTGTTGTTGTTGTTGTTGTTGTTGTTGTTGTTGTTGTTGTTGTTGTTGTTGTTGTTGTTGTTGTTGTTGTTGTTGTTGTTGTTGTTGTTGTTGTTGTTGTTGTTGTTGTTGTTGTTGTTGTTGTTGTTTTTTTGTTTTTTGTCAATTTCAACCAAAATGAATCCACCCAACGTTTTTAGACCAACATGAATGGTTTCCCCATGGATTTGTTGAATTGCGGATTTGTGAAATGGTTCCAATCCATCCCAACCCAGCGTCTTATGGCGTGCCAAAGTTCAGCCGGGATCAGCCGGGTTCAGCCGGGTTCAGCCGTGCGGCGGGTCAAAAAACCCCAAGGGCCCCCTCCGGCGTCGGTTTTCGCATAGGCGACCCTTGGGCTGTTGGCGCATGTCATTGATATGGTTTGTTCCTGTGTGTTGCTGCATGTTTAGGGTGGGGTGGGGGGGGGTTGCTGACATTCGGAACTCCAGTGTGCTCAAAGTTTTCTGCAAGCACATCCCAAAAACATCCGGTCGCCTATGCGCACAGCGCGAAGAAAGCCCCCACCCCGGTCTGCCAGAGCGAGAGGGAGAAGAGAGGTTGAGAGACACAAACACACACGCACACAAGCACACGTGCCATGGTCAAATCTCGTTGTGTGGGTCATGGTCACAGTCCCGAAAAAATAGAAGCCCTTGCCAGGGTTGTCTAAATTCCCTAAAGGGTTCATGACGTTTCGCGGTCTTTATCTTTTAGAGGTCTGTTCACCAGGGGACACATCTGCGAATGCTCAATCACCCCAAAACCTGAACAAAGAAATCTCAGTGGAATCGCTGCGGGCAAGCTCACGGCCAAACCTTTTTCTCGCCTATGGAATTTGAAGGCGCAAGGGGATGCGATATGATAGAACCCCACAGCACTACGCCAAATAAGTACTTGATCATTCAAGGGTAAGTGTTGTCTTGCTGTTCTTTTTTGTGAGGGTACCCTTTTGGCGTGTTTTCGAGGGAAACCAAGCGGACCCAAACCACTGAGGGGTTCCACGGACGCACCCATACCACTTGGCCTTGGCCTTGGCCAATCCATGCGCACAAATCGCCTGCGAAGTGTGGGACTGCTGCAAGAACTCCCACTTCCGCACCAGTCTGGCAGGCAAGTCTCAATGTCTGGGACCTAATGCATCTTGACTAAGTCCCCAGGAGGGGGGGGGGTCCTGTGGTGATAGATTCCCTTTGAAAACAAAAGGGGGAAATCAAACATGTTCTTGAGCAAATGGAAGAATAGAGTGTGACCACAAGACATGAGTAAAGTATATGATAAAACTAGTATTTGTTTAGCCCCCTTAGGGACCTAAAGCAGAATGTCGAGTAAGACTAAACAAAGTCATGACCATGTAAAAAATGACGTCTGCAGGTGGTGAGTTGTTTCCTTTCGGTTTGCCTTCTAACACCGTCCAAAAAGAGATGTCTTTTTCAGGCCAACTCAATTTCAGGATATTTCAGGCAAACTGTGTCCAAAGCGAAGCACGACAGATCTGAGGGCATCCTAGTTCGGGCAAACGGGAAGCCCAGCTTGTTCCTATGTCGGGAAACATATATGCAAACTGGAAAAGCTGCAAAACACGCAGCTAAGACTGTGATCCAGAAATCTTGGGTAACGAGTGCAACTGGAAACGCACATTTGCCTATTCCCATTTGAACTCGTGGAGAAGCTAAGCACATGATCATGCATGTCCTATGCACCAAGAACCATGGCAGCCCCTCACCGGAAAGCAAGGGCATTCCCCCCAGCGCTTGGGCTTCACTCTTGGAGGCTTAAAGGTTTAGGGTTTGGTTGCAGTCTTGGCTTCGGGCATTTAGGGTTTAGGTTTAAGGTTTGGAATAGGTTGACGGTTTTAGACAAGATTTTGGGCCTAGGTTTAGGGTCTGAGTTCAGGGGTTAGGTTTCGGGTTTAGGTTTAGGGTTCACGCCTAGATTTTACATTTTAGGGATTAAAGTTTGGGGGTTCAGTTTAGGCTTCGGGTTTAGGGTTAAGTTTGGGCGCAGGCAAACCATGGGGGCAGGCCGCAAAAGTAGACATCTCTTGGGAGAGACAAAGTGCGGCTTCGCCTTGGAATCGTGCCCAGAAACGGTAATGTTCATTAACATCCACACATACAGAAAGCCCGCAGTGACCTCCAGTTGCTTAAGTCCCCTGAAAAAACAAATCCAGTAGTGATAAATTCCCTTTCAAACCAGCAGGAAAAAAAACTCAACCAAACGGAAGCTTAGAATCTTGCTTGGGGAAGAAAAGGAAAACAACACACGAAGAAACAAGCAAGGCTGTCTGGCAGCTGACAAAGGGCCGTGCTGCAAGTCAGAAAGATTCCGAAATCCCGATGTTTCCAAAAGACCCCCTGAGGGGCGCTTCTGTTGGAAAAAAAAGAAGAAGGCCGGCATGAATTGGCGGGGCCCTTTTTGGGGGCTCGCCTTCGCCTCGTTTTTCCCGACTCTCCGAGCATCGGTGCCTCGCCGCCAGCTGCTTGAGCCCCTCTGGCTCGCAGATCTCCTCGGCATCCACCCGCATGGCCTCAGACGCGAGACGGAAAACGACAAAAACATTTGAGTCACAAATGTAAAACCCAGAGATTTAAATGGTCGTAATCCCAGAACCATGCTTCAAGAATTAAGAAGGCGGATCTCCGCAACTATTTCTGGTTGGGACTGCCCCTTACTAACCTTCATCCACCTGGGTTTTGATTGTGGCTCATCTATGGAATTTCAAAGAGGAGACATGTACGGAACCCTGGAGACAGTTTGAGGGTGGGCCACCCCTTTATGTTGAACCCCCTATTTTTAGACACCTCGTTTTGCAGGTCTGGTTGCATGGAACCATCCTTCCTCCCACGTCCCCTGAAAAATCAGAAGGGTCAAGGTATACAGCTTTTGGGAGTTTGGAGCAGGGTTGTGGGCCATCACTTTTTACGGGAATTCTCTTGGCATCACGTCCCACACGCATTGTCTCATGGCCACCATGCCAGCGAGTTCGAACATGCCTGTCACGTCCAGATGTCTCTGTGAAAGTGGCCTAAAACTATATGTTCCAAAATGTTAAAACAGTCACCCTCGGGATTACAAGCGTTCAATTCAATTTATGGCATTTGGCCCCGCAAGGGTATGCGCAGGGTTGGAGAATTCGACCTTGTCAAGGCATGTCTTCCCTTTCAAGAGGGCTAGGGTCTGGTAGTCTAATCATGTTTTGTGGGGCGCTGGAAGCTGGAAGTGAGCCTGCCTTGTTGCTTGCCTGGCTAAAGAAGTGTCTGGTCCGTTGACTTTGTGCAAGCCAACACACGACTCATTGCTCAACCAACCATGACAATGGAATTGTGGGACGAAGTTGAGAGGGTGAACAGCGGCGCAGCGCAACAAGTGCTTCCAGCCAATATAAGGGCCTGACAGATTAGAACAGGTTGCGGGCTACGTGGAGCAAATTTAATCATGTTTGTAAGAGACAACTATTACAAAGTATTTGTCTTGGGTGTCTCCTTTAGTGGGGGTTTCCTTTGCTGCGGGTTTTACAGAGAATCGCAAGATGGACATCCACCTTTCTCTCTTCAGTTTGGGGGGGGGTCCCCCAATCCACTTCGGCCCATAGATTACTGCAGGAAAAGGCCAGCCTCGTTTCTGCTAACGGGGTCCACGCCGAACGCCGTTTTTGGCTTTTTGCCGAACTTTCTAGCACTGTAAACCAGCTCAAAACTAGCTAGCTCAAAATTGGCCCAGCATAAAGCAAAGCCGGCGTCCTTGAACACCAGGTCTAAACTATCAATGAAACTAGCTCAAAACTAGCTCCAAACTAGCTCGCAAAGAAATGGAAGCAAGGCAGGCATCCTTGAAAACGAGCTCAAAGCTAGCTCAAAACTAGCTCAGAAAGAAATGACAGCAAGGCAGGCATCCTTGAAAACCAGCTGAAAACTGGCTCAGCACTAAGCAAGGCAGGTGTCCTGGAAAACAAGGACCAGGTCAAAACTAGCTCAAAACAAACTCGCACAGAAATGTAAGCAAGGCAAGTGTTCCTGACAACACTCAAAACTATCTCAAACATAGCTCGTCAGGCACATGGTAAGCATACCCGCGTAAGAGCGCCTGTAAGCATACCCGCCCAAGAGCACCTGCTCAGCTCTGTATACATGCCAGGCACATGGTAAACGCACCCGCTCAAGAGCACCAGCTCAGCACTGTATACATGCCACGCACATGGTAAGCACACCCGCTCAAGAGCACCCGCTCAGCACTGTGTACATGCCAGGCACATGGACACCCGCTCAAGAGCACCCGTTCAGCTCTGTATACATGACAGGCACGTGATAAGCACACCCGCTCAAGAGCGCACTGTATAGGCACATGGGAAGTACACCCGCTCAAGAGCACCCGCTCAGCAATGCATCCATGCCAGGCACATGGTAAGCACACCGGATCAAGAGCACCCCTCAGCACTGTGTACATGCCAGGCACATGGACACCCGCTCAAGAGCACCCGTTCAGCTCTGTGTACATGACAGGCACATGATAAGCACACCCGCTCAAGAGCGCTCGCTCAGCACTGTATAGGCACATGGGAAGCACACCCGCTCAAGAGCACCCGCTCAGCAATGCATCCATGCCAGGCACATGGTAAGCACACCCGCTCAGCACTGTATACATGCCAGGCACATGGTAAGCACACCACAAGAGCACCCCTCAGCACTGTATACATGCCAGGCACATGGTAAGCACACCCGCCCAAGAGCACCTGCTCAGCACTGTATGCATGCCAGGCGCATGCAAGCACACCCGCTCAAGAGAACCCAATCAGCACTGTAGTCACGGCGCGCGCAACGGCCCCGCACAATATGATGGCTGCGCCGCTGGGCGCTTTTCGAAAAACCGCGCGTTTTACAAGGTTTTGTTCGGGACCATCATAGACAAATGCCTTCAAAAATGCTGGTTTTCCACCAATTCCAAGTCCGCTTCATGTCATTTACAATGTGATTCAAACAAATTTTATCGCGTGCAGAACTTGCTTTTACACCATCCTGGCAATTGCGCAAAGCCCCCAGTGGCAACCCAAAGCTTTACCATGTGCCAGGCATCCGTACATTGTGTGCTGAGCGGGTGCTCTTGAGTGTACAGTGCTGAGCGGGTGGGCATGCTTTCAGCGCTGAGCGGGTGCTCTTAAGCGGGTGTGCTTACCAGATGCCTGGCATGTGCACAGTGCTGAGCGGGTGCTTTTGGGTGCGCGTACCTGTGCCTGGCATGTACTCGTTTCTCTCAGCCCCAAAAACCGCAAACCACGCTCATCACATAGGGAATTGCCTTGGCTCACACAAGCCGGCAATGAACAAACCATTGGCCACAACCCGCAACCAGGATATATATATATATATATGTATATATATGTATTTATTTATTTATTTATTTATCGTGTATATATATATATATATGTCCGGTATATACATATACTGTGTATATATATATATATATATATTAGATCACCTCTTTTAGCCCTCGGACTCCTTCCATGGCACCGGGCAGTTGTCCGCCTCTCGCCCTGCTTGTCCCACACCACCGTGAGTCCCGGAGGGTCGAAGCTCCTTGGATGAGTCCGACTGGACAATCAGCTCACGTTGCCATGGACGTTTCCTTATAAAGGATGCATTTGGCCAAATCAAAAACCGCCTTTACTAGTTGCTTCACGAGGATTCATGGGGATTCTACATCTAGTAGGTGGTTTTTAGGTGAATCCGACTTAGAGGGGCGATCGGGCACGTCAGGGAAGTGGTGAGAGCAAGCCTGGTGAAATGACCCACTGCAGGGATAATTTATAACCATGGCTTTTGTCGGTTACAACCATGGTGAAATTACCCACTTACTAAGTACAATGCCCCTTCAAGTGTCAACCTCACTGGGCTGTCCATTTTCAGATCTGCAAAAAGTGAGTCTAACTTGTGGGTCAAATTCGGAAACCCAAACACTTTCCCCCACCAAAAAGAGCCAACAAGCTAGGGGACCGGCTCTTTGGGAACCACCCATGCCGGGGCTTGTCTGAGGCTACCCTGAAATTGGTGAAAAGGAGCTTCCGCTGACGCAAAGCAAAGCACATGGGAGCATCCCATCCCATGCCGTAAGAAAATCCGCGCAGGGGCCTGTGTTATTCAGCATCAAGGAGTCGCTTTTACAGATAGCTCGCTACACCTCGGTGGAGGAATACATGTCTTTTTGAGGGGAGCATATATGCTCCTTGTTGAAAAAAAACTCACCTCCAACAAAAAGCCCATGGCATCGCAGATGCCCTCAGAACCCTTTGTGATACCAACATGTCACATCCCGGCGGTTTCTGCTTGAATAAAATTCCACCACCCGCCTACCGGAAAGCGGACTAGACCGAAGGTCATTGGGGCGGTAGGGATGTACTCCTTGGTGGCTGGAAGGACCGCCTGCAAAAAAACAACAGTGGGTTCAATGGAAAACCCACTGATTCCCATGGAAACCCACTGTTTCCCATGGAAACCCACTGTTTCCCAAAAGTAAAAGTCCAACATCCAACTAAATAGCCACAAAAGACCCACGCCTGGTTCTGTCTGGTTCGGCCAAAGGAAATGAGAGCTGCTTCACCAAGCTGAAGCCGTACGAGTGGTTCGGCAAAAGCGAGCAACCAGCTCCGGAAAGAGTAGAGCAAACGGGAAAGCTACGCACAACCTATCCCGGATCGTTTTTTCTTTTTTGTATGAATGCGTTTGCTTAACGCAAGAAAACACACAACACATCCACCAGGCACGACAAGCCCACAGTCTTGCTGCCAGGCGTCAGCAAAAAGCGGAGAATGCGGGATACGCCTGGCGAAGAATCCGGGATGCGCCCCCAGTAATTTGCGTAGATGTCCTGAGATTCCCATCTAGTTGTGACAATCGCTTTGGATCGGATTCGGTGCTCCGGGGTGGTTTACAAGATCAGAGGCAAAACCAAACTGTTCCCTGAAAACCTGGTATCAACAAACAATATGCCGCATATGCCCATGGTTCTGAATCAGTGCATGATTCATAGACCAACAAACCCATCGGTTCATTCCCCCTCATGTCACCTTGGAACCCCCAAGAAGGAGGCGAACCCTCGTTAAACGGCCTTGGAACTTGCCAGAGCTGGTTTCTTCCCTGAAAATGTGCCATTTGTTTCGACCAGAACCCTCCCATGGGTTTTGTGAACGGAAGCCAAGAGGAAAACCACCCTTTGGGTTGTTTGTTTCTTCCCTCTTGGTTTTCCTTTAAAGACCAACCAAAAACGGGGGCCCTCAAGAAAGAGACAACCTTATAGATTGCAGGCAGTATAATGAGGGCTCTCAGGACCTCTCTGAAAAACGGTGTTCAGGATGGATCCCTGATTCCGCCGAAATCTGTGAGCAGTCCCAAAATAAGGAACTGTTTTTGAACCGAGCTAATGTCGCTCCTGACTAAATGATCGACATTGTTGCAAGTCCAACACCTGAAATTAGGGAACCCCCAATAACTGGCAGGACTATACCATGGTGAGCCCGTTTTGCCCCCGAGTGAGCTCGCCAGAAATGATGTGAGCCGTCGACACATGCTTCCCATTTTTAGCACATATTGAGCGAATCCCCGGCTTGTCGTAGGGAAATTTGGAGCTCGTCCACCATGTTCAAACAAGACCTCAAATGAGCATTATTTTTTTTAAAGGTTCAGAGCTTATACACTGCTGGGGAGGTTACGCGGGGGGCCTCGCGGGGCCAGAATTTGTGGGAGGGTTGGCTTCGCGAGGCTTCGCGGCAAAACTGTGGCTTCGCGGAGTGGCTTCGCCGGGCTTGCGCCCCCGTGTTGTTGAATCAAGTTGAGTCCATGCGAAAGGGGGCGATGAAAGGCGGCAAGAGAGGCATTGAGCTTCAGGACTAGGGGACATGGCTGGGCCTCAAAGGGGCGAAGCATGGAAGTTGGACGGCGGTGGCTTCGCGGAGGCTTCGCAGAGGCTTCGCGAAAACATTCCATCGTTTCTAGCAAAACCGGGCCTGAAACACAGTGCTCTTCCGGTCGTCTTCCCGTAATCTTCCTGTAGTCTTGTCGTAGCCTGCTGACTCTAAACATCAACCTTTGGAATACTACTGCCATGAAAGCGCACAACACACTTACCACGAAAGCACGCAATACACTCAAACCACGAAGTGGCTTCGCGAAGTGGCTTCGCCTGTGTCAATGTTGCCGGGCTACGCGAAGTGGCTTCGCGGGGCTTCGCGGTACACAATGTATCGCACAAGTGCCTTCGCGGAGCTTTTGGGAGTTCCCCACGAAGCTAAAATCCATCATCTGAGAAAAAAACGCTGCTCAAATGAATTCAGTTGTTCAGTGACCCTGGAAAACAACAGAAAAAAACACGGGAACCCTTTTTGGGGCTTGGACCATTTTTAGTGAGCAGCCACCAACAAAAAAATGAAAACTAATTGGTGCCACTGAACAACTGAGTGGATGGACTAACATCCGCTGTCAGTTCCCTCACTCCCAAACGCGCCGAGCTCACCTGAGGAGTCCAAAGTTGAACCTGGACCCGAACACGAATGCAAGGAAGGAACTCCGAACACCAACTAGTTCAGCCACAAAATATATATATATATATATATGTATATCAATCTAAGCAGTAACCAACTCTAGGTGCAAAGGGCAGAATATTCTTCCCTCATATAAGGGAAGCTTAAAGGAAATTGTCCTACCCATAGGTTCGGCGATCCGTTGAAGGATCCTGCAACGCGTAGTGGTGCGGCGATCCCTTGTTACAAGTTCGACCTTTAGTGCCATGCATCCTTGATCAGGCCGCGTGGGCAGGCGAGGCCCATTCAAAAGCCCATAGTTTCAATACAGATTCGCCGGCAAAAGGAGCCATGGCACTGTGATGGCTGGAAACTAAGAGTGAATCAGTTTATATCACTATTGCGGCCTTGGGGAATGCCTTAACTTAAGACTTGCGTAGGGTGGCCGGACTCATTTAAATGGAGCATGCAAAACACCCTTCAAATGCAGGCCACGGCACCTCCTTCAACAAACAATCGTGGGTGGTTTTGCTTTTTGGCCTCCCATTAAGCCAACCTTAAGAATAGTACCCTCAAACAACACACGCTCATACATACATTGACATCCCCTCTTAAAGATTGCCCGGACAGAAGGAACACTTGTTTCGAACGGCCCAAACTGCATCCAACTTCCCTTCTCCTGACAGCCCCCCTGGATTCCTCCGAATAACTTACCCCGGTCTTTGGGACCAAACAAGCGGGGAGGGCGGGATGGTTGCAATTCCAAGGACACCTCTCGACTTGGCACCCCGGTTCCAAGCGATCCCCACCGAATCTGCCTTCGGCTTCGGAATCTTTGGCCGGCCTGGCAATCTGTGCCAAAACCAGCGGTTCAATTGAGTCACAATCAAAACCTGGTACAAAAATGGTGAACCCAGAACCATGTAAAGAATTAAGAATCCGCAACTATTTCTGGCTGGAACTGCCCCTTGCTAACCTTCATCTACCCGGGTTTTGATTGTGGCTCAATTAGCCAATGAGAAACGGAATCCCCAACTGAACCATGCTCTTATTGATTTTGACCTCAAAATACACAGCTTCCCTGCTCCCAAACGATTCATTCCCTGCTTCCGTGCTGATTCCATACTCACCAAGACCTCAAGCAGGAAATAAGAAGCGGTGAACTGGCCGGAAGTTGACCCTGCGAGTGAAAGCAAATGGCGCACCATTCCCATGGGATAATCGGATAATACATATGAGGGGGAATTGTACCGCCTTCCAACCGCAAGTTTGCCGTAAAAGCAACAACAAGCAATGCCAACACAAATCAACAAGTTTACTCTAAAGAAGGTGGCTGCATTATGAAGCACATGTGGCTGTGGGTCAAAAATCGGTACCCCAAATGGAACCCTGGCAAGTGGAAACATGACCAAAATCTGCGGTCCGATTCCTGGTGGTTTAATTTTGACCCATACCCATGTTTTGCTCTGGCCATCTTTGGACGCGCCCTCCCGAACCCCCCAGACAGGGTCACTCACAAAAACCTGGGTCAAAAGTGTGACATTCTCTGAATTACCTCCTAAATGGTGGTATTTGAAGGGACGCGAGCCTCAAAAGTAATTTTGAGAAACCCTCAAAACTGGGCTGTCCTCAGATGCCCCCACTAAAAGTTTGACTTTTAGTGGGTTAAATGGAAATCCCTACTAACTAAAAGGCTAAAAAGCTAAGGAACCGGATGGCTGGGAGCCACCAAGAAAATGTTCACGTTAAAGGACTCGTTAGACAAACCGAGACAATTTAGCGCCGGAAAGCCCCGAGTTGGAGTCCCATCAGCTTATGTGTCGGCCAGGGCGAATCTCATAAGATTGGCATGTGGTTGCACAAGTTGCACAGCATGCTTGAACCAAAACTAGGTCCTCCAGTGGAGAGGTGAAAATAAGTTGGTACCCTATTTTTTTCTGCAGTCTATTTTAGTAGGGGAACCCTCCCCCCAAAAAGGGTAACAGGGCACTAATGGGGGACCTAGAAAACAATGAGAAAACGGAAAGAACAACAAACGAACATAAAACTATGACTCTATGACTCTATAACAAAACAAACACCCAGCTCGCAGACTGTCACAGACCCACTGCCTCTCAGTATAAACCGCAGAGTCGCATGCAGCTCACAGGCAGACAGCTGGACTGTCCGACCCCCAAGTTGGGCAGACCACCTCCACATCGCAACAGGTTTCATGCATTTGTGTCTTCATGGGCGCAACAGCCTGCCCAGTTTAGGCGAAAATGTTGTTTTTGAATCAGCTGTGGGTGCCTTCTGGTTGGTTCTAAGGGGAGCCAAAAGGAAACCGTGGCCATTTTGGGGTGCCTCCTAGACAAGACACACCCCTGTCCCCTGACATGTGCGAGAATTGACTGGTGGCGGTTTATTGTTTGGTAATATCAACTTCACAAACTTGGGTGAATCATATTGATGATTTACCAACCAAGACAGGAACGGTCTTCAAGGGGCAAGGTATCAAACCCTATTCGTTTGGTTGCTATGACTTGCCCAACCCCATCACATGGTCAAATAAATCCCAATGCAGCAAAGCTGACCAGTCTGGGGCCCTTCTTTAAACATGTTCAAAGCACTATTGTTCAAGCAGCTGAGTCAGCAAACACTTTGCCCCAAGCACGAACGAGCGTATGAAACAACACACCCTTGTTTAAACAATTGGCCGCCTGCCCGAAAGACCATGCTCCCCGCCTGAAGCTTGTAGCAACCTGCGACTGAGACTTGGGAGACCAGCTCCAGGTGAGATCTGGGTATAAATGTTACTTGACCCGAAATGGTGGACATGGGGTTGATCAATATTCCTGGCCCCCAAATGAGCAAGGGTAACTTTTCCCATGTGGGAAATATCATATTTTTAGTGGCTTTCCCCCATGGTCGTCCCGTCTAAAGAACATGTTGATCAACATCAGATTTCGGGGATGAAGTTGGCCGCTAACCACTTGTGTGGTGGTTCCGACTCTTCAACTTCACAGCCACATGGGTATGTACACGTGTGTCTGCATTTTTGTTGAGACCCGGTTCAGGTTGGCTTCAAGGGAAACCACACAGAAAACCAGGGGTTTCCGTGTTTCGACAACCAATATGCTCGGTTTGGTGCCTCCAAATCCAGGAAGTGGTCTCCAAGAAGGGCCACGCGGTTCACTGCCAGCTGTCAACGAATAAAGACCTCTCAGAGCTCTGCCTGCGCAAATGACTATTACCCTGAAAACAGGCCTTTGTATCAAATTATATATATTATGTACATGTATACACCCACATGTAAGGTGCCACAATACTTAGCGCATTCACCCACTCAAGCCCCCCGAGCAAGAGTTTTCATGTTGCTTGAATAAACAAAACTAAAAACGGCGAAGAAACAGATTGTACTTGGTTTATATGCACAAATCAATCTGAATTCAACCAGCGCCAAAACTCTGGGGCCGTGACCAACAATCAGCCTGGCACAAGAACAGAACATGTCACCGTCTGGACAAGAAAAGGATACGGGAGCCGATGAAATGTTCCAACCTGTAGGTGTGGGTCAGCACACAAAGTATCTCGCAACGGAAGAATCGGAGAGTACAGCTCTCTGAAAATAGAAAAGCGCTCAAAAATTGATTGAGGAAGTCTTTTGCTTACCCAAAATTAAATTAAGGAAGTCCTACCCAAGCTCTGTAAGATTGCGACAAGAAGGCGCGCCAGACTTCGGACGCAATCCTCAAACGCGTTAGATGCGGGTGTTTCGAATCAAGTACACGGCTGGTGTCCTGGTGGTTTGCCAGGAAAGGCATGCGATTCAAATTAAATGACTCTGGCAAGTGCCCCATGCTGATTCCAGAGATGAGGCATGCTTCAGAATGACGACACAGGGACTGCAAGTACCCGCGTAGGCATGAACAAGGAAATCACCAATGTCACGACATACAGCTTCCTTTCCTACACTCCTTGACTCTTTGGGTTCCTTTCGGGTGCTACACACATTGTCCTCAGCGATCAGAACACCCCGTCTGGCTGGGCACTCCCCTGTTTTCTCGGCTCGGTCCCGCGTCTTCCCACCTCAGCCCTTGCGCCCATCATTTCATCCTGGACGTTGGCAGACAAGCTTTGGCCCAGAAATGCAGCAATATGCCCGCAGAACATGCCCCGATGGTCCAATCCATTGCTCAAAGAAGTGTAGCCTCCTCATCCCCTTCAAGAGGGGGGGAAAGGCGGGGATTGAGTGTGGCAATGCGTTTTACTCGATCTTGCAGGCCCTGACTAATTTGGGAACCTTTACAAGAAATTGTTGACAGCGGCCTATCACACCCTGTGGAAAACAGCGGAGGAAGTTTGACACTCCAGTGGGACTTCAACACACGCGGGGGTAAAATTAAACGTCATGATCTCATGGTTTTGGCTACGCCCAAAGGACAGCATTTGCATTGGGATAGAGGCACAAAGTTTCCTTGACCCATAGACGGCGCTGTTGATGTACCCTGGCCTATTTCATCAACATGGTAACACCTCAGCATCCACATGTTGAGCGTGGTCAAATCTCTTGGTCACTGATGTTTCCATGGCTAAATCATTGTCACACATGGTTTTGGGGAACATCTTCACAACATCGCAAATGCAAGCAGCACACAGAGAGCAGGTCACGTGAGTTCACAACACAGGGAGACACCCATGAAGATGCACGGCGTTGTAGGTCTTGACTGGCAACGGTACATGTGCCGATCGGCAAAAAAGTAGCACATGCCAAGCAAAAACATCGCACTCCCCCAAGATGTGGCGAACGAGAGGCGCAAAAGGACTGTTGAGGTAAAGGCCAGGCATAGTATATCTTACTCGACACGCTCCCTGCTCACACGTTGACGTTCAAATATGCTTGACAAACACAAAGCTCGTACTAAGCAACCCAGGTTACAACCCAAAGAGTGGACTCCACTTGGCAAACGAGCTTCGCTTGATCACCATGGAGTTACTCACCACAATCACTATAGTATGCTTCACCGACGTCCCTGTTCAGAGGATAAGTGGCCTGGATATTAAACTCAATGCCCGCTGCAGATCCTGCCACTTGCTAGCATCCTTCAGTTCTCGGTTCCGTCTCGGATGGACCTGGTGCCTAAACACCTTGCCCCACCAGCACTGGGGTCGGCCGATGGGAACACAAATGGGAACACTGTCGGAGGCCTAGGTTCAGACATCCCCTTCACTCCTTGCTGCAGTGCACCATCATCCGACGATTGCAAGTATTACTTACCTGGCTTAAACCAGTTTGTTCTGACTGCTATCCAACTGCTTGCACATGTACATTATGATACTATAAAGTGCAAAGGGACATATTACAGATTGTGCCTTGTTTCATTCATCGTGTTCAAGCTCCCATGTCCTAGACCTAGACAACCCCTACCGGGAGAAGAACAAGTCAACTAGCAATTTGCCTGAAGTTGTGTATCCCCCCCAAAAATGGACAACTGATGCGGGGCCCACTCCAGGTCGCATTCCCCGCCTCCTCCGTGTTACACCGGTCCAAAGGGGCGTGCCTGCCCGGAAAGTCTGCTTCAGTTTCATGCCAAGGTTCTATTGGGCTAGAATCAAATCAAAGAGTATGGCCACAAGTATGAAGAATAAATCACATGCACATTCCCGCATCTATTCATAGTTTCCACTGCACCTTACTAACCTTGCCTCAGTTGTCTTTGTGTCGATTGTGTCTGGCTGTTCACGCGCCGTCATCTCCAAAGTGGTTTAAGTGCCAGCCAAAAATGCTTTGCTCGGCTCGCAAGGAAAGGTCCACGAACGAGCACCTCCTCGACGGGGGCTTGGATCCTAGGGATGTTCACGCACAAATCCTCTCGACGAGGCTCCCCCGAATTTGAGTCGCACCGGCTTCTCTACATAGCTCATAGCTCAGCCCCTGAACAAGCCCATAGGCAGAAGATTACCTTTCGTGCTGCTTGTTTGAGTCACTCATAGCTCAGACCCTGAACAAGCCCATAGGCAGATTACCTTTCGTTCTGCGTCTTTGAGTCAGTTAGTCCCCATAGGCATCTCTTGGAAACTGGAGACAAACAAAACTCCCCTGAACACCCTTCTTGAATCGCAAGCTGAGGCCTTCAGTGCCTTTTGGGGCACGCTGTGTTGAGTCTAAGGGGATCCAACAATGTGGCCCGGGGATCCCCGATGTGGATACCCGTGGTGGTCAACACCGATGGGATCCCATTTTGGGGGATTGGTGAATTCACCACCCATTGTAGAACCTATTTTAATGGGGATTGGGATGCTCACTCATGGGGATTGGGATGCTCACTGGGGGTGCGATTTGGATTTTGACCCATGCTCATGCAACAACCCAACGCCAGTCCGCTTGCTCTTGGTTGTTGTTGACCCCCCTGCAAAAAGCTTAACTTTTTGGGGGTTTAGTGGGAAACCCCTTGATTTATCAAAAGGTTAAAGTCTAAAGATCCAACCCAATCCCAGTCAAGTATCCCCAACAATGCACCAACCCCCTGGCACCTTCGAAAAAAACCCAATTTTCCTACTCCTTAAAAAAAAAAAAAAAACAGCCCGCTATAGGCAAAAAGAAAGAAAGGAACAAAAAGAAGAAACAAAACGCCCATCCGCTGGCTGGGGACAACAACACCAACTCGGCACTGGAGATCTTCGAAGCTGAGCTTTGAGGCCTCTGTGACTCCGGCTCCGGCGGGCTCGCTTCAAGCGGCGCAGGCGCGAAGGGCTTGGCCTGAGACATGGCGTCCGTCGGCGCTCGGTGGTCGGTTTTTTTTTAAATCTATCTAAAGCCATGGATTTACGTATTGTTAGAATTAGATGTTGCTATTTGGTAGATTTCTCGGGGGGGTTCCAGCTATTAAAGATTGGGATTGGGTAACTGGGTACCCTCCATTTTGAGCAGCCCGGAGAAGTGCGGACCGGGCAAAATGTGTTGAAACAACTCGACCTCGGTCTTCTTTAAAAGCCGAAAAGGACGTTGCCAACAAAATGAGTGCTTCAGTGGGCCACCCCTGGCTTTGTCTTCCTTTTCGGGTGACCCTTCCAGCTTACCTATGGGTAGTTGCTTTCTTTTTGGTGGAGGGGGGGGGTTGCGGCCAAAGCAAGATCGTCCTGTTTTGTCCAGCAAGTTGGTGGGTTGCAGTTTGTCACATGTTTCTCTTGGGTTTCCCTCCACCCAATCAACATGGAACCTGACAGGGGGTCCTTTTAAAAGGAAAGTGGTCTTCTAGGACCCCTGCCAGGTTCCATGTTAATTGGTGGCAGGGTTAGCTGGGATGGCAACACTCTGGCGCGCTTTGCGTCTTATCTAAAAGGTCCAAAGGAGCCCAGCCCCTAGGACAAAAAGAACAGAGCGTGACGCATGTTGAAAATCAGGCATGTCAAGACGCCATCGAGGCCGGGCATCCTGTTCTGAACATCTGGCAAGGAACCACCTCAATCAACAGAAACCAGAACAACACACAGAAATAGAAAGGAACTCAGCCTTGGACCCGAATCTGTTTCTTGAAATCCACGAATGCGGTCCCTGTGAGAGAACCATGCAGGGCATCCAGGGTTGTCGCCGATGCCAACGTCTCTCTCCGAATTTTGGCCACCGCCGATGCCTTGATGAGGTCCCTGAGAGCCTTCTACCTCACGAACTCCTCAAAATGTATGCCCGCGGGGAGTCAGCTGTTCAGAAGAAACCGTGTCACATTCCTCTGGGCCCAAGATTGCAGCACAATGCGGGTCACCCTGGTGCATCAACTCTGGTGAATTTGGCGGGGGGGGGGGGGGGCGTTGGATTCGCGGTGGGTTCTGGTTTAAACGCCTTTGAAGGAACGGTGTTTGCCTATCAACATACAACAACCCACAAACTCAATGGTTCTCGAAGGAATGCTTAAGGAGCTGCAATGCATCCCGCCCATCCTTCCCCCCATCGCCCCAGCTAGATTGGAGATTTGGACAGGCCGGCATCAAGTCAAGGCAACCCTGCTTCTGGGACAAGCCAGCAATGGGCGCAGCTGCCACCCTCTGCGGGAAAGGTTGGTGGTTCCGACATACCTCTCGCTACCAACCGACCGAGCAAGCTACTTTTCAGGCCTCCCTACATATCCCCCTTGAAGTGTCACCCCACCAAGAGGAGACTGAGTAGACTCACCTAAACTTTGAGTGATGTTTTGATTGATTCATGAGAGCCCAAACCTCATCTGCCAGGTTCTACTCTCATCCGGGGTCAACATTTACAAAGGGAAACGACCTTGGCCTTGGCTTGCAATAATTGACTAGGTCCTCCAGTAGACAGGTTAGAATAAGAGCACCCTTGTTTGTAGTCTATTTTAGTAGGGGAACCCCCCCCCAAAAAAAAACAAAAAGGAAAAAGGGCACTACTGGGGGACCTAGTTGACAAATTGGAAACCGTTGGAATTCCCAAAGGATCTTCATGGATGAGCTCTTGCCTTGATGTTCAACCCTTAACCTAGGACGTAAATATGGCCATTGGTCAATAGCCCGAAGGGGAGCAACAATTTAATTTTTAGCAGTTAAGTGGGGATTTCCCACTAAACCACAATAAGCAAAAATGTAAAATGTTTCCCAACAACAACCATGTAAAATGGGTGGTGCACCTACCCCACAATGGTACCATTGGTTTTGACCCAGCCATATGTAGCAAAGCACAAGGATGTAATATTGTAAGGGTTGATTCTCCCCATTCTCTTCACCCATCCTTCTCTTCAGAAGCACCCAACTGTTTGAAGTGGTCGGGTGCGAGGTGGGCTTACCTTTTGTTCGGCCCGGGGATCCGCACAACTTCCTCCAGGGATGCACCTCAGCGATCCGTGGCATGCGGTGAAGGGCGTCAACACTTGCCTCGGATTTACTCCAATTAGCTCCTAGGTCCTGCAGTAGAGAGGACAGAATAAGGGCGTTTTTTTCTGTAGTCTATTTTAGTAGGGGAGCTCTCCCCCAAAAAGGGTAAAGGGGCACTACTGGGGGCCCTAGGCTCGCCACCACTACGAAGCAATACAGTTGCCCTATTGCCCAGCGGCGATGGAGCAAACAGGACCCATCTCTGTTGGGTTGCTCGTCGCTCGAGAGGCATCGACTTGGAACATCGTTTTACATGCCAAATCGCCGCTGAACGGAGTTGCCCCTGTCAGACAAAAGCGCAATCGACTCAAGGGGTAAATCTCTATGGCCACGCGATAAGTGCTCAGAACCATAATTGCACAACACTTGCACGACTTGCAACAGGGGTGGGTCTATGGGTTCACATGGTTGCGTGCCAGCAAAGCTGCCTTCATTGCGCCCCGGAGGTAGAAAGGTGGTTTACTCTGTTTGTCAGCCGATGTAACGATGTAGCAAGTTCCGTCTTTCCCTCATCTCCCAGCCCAGTCTACCCAGTGGGTGTGCTGGGCTGAGACGCTGACCACTGTCTGAGAGCTGCCTCACGGGCTCCTCGCCGTCAATATCTTGGGGATGGGCTCCACTGCGGGGGGGGGGGGGTCCTCGTTCCCCTTGAAACATGGCCCACCGTTGCCGACCGGTTTTCCGTTTTTGTTCTTCTTTCCTTTCCGGATGCAATCATGTTCACGGGCCCTTTGGTGCAAGCTGTTTCTTCTCGGTTTGGAACGCATTACAAACGAAGTAGCTGGGCAAATTCTGGGCCCCCGCGCCCTGAACTGGAACAAAAACACCAAGGCGCTCGCCAAAGTGAGCTCATGGTTCAGATCTTGGGGTTGATCAATATTCGGCCCCCAAAATGACCATGGGGAACTTGTCCCATGTGGGAAATATCGAATCTTGTGGTGGTTTGTCCCGGACCTTTTTGATCAACCCTACGGAGCCCCGGCACCCGACTCCCGGCAAAACAAAAAAGACATCGCAATGTGTCCAACAGCCCATGGGCTTTGCCGGGCATGAAATGTCCCCCCAGCCCCTTTTTGGTTTGGAGACATTTTGAGCACCAAGGTGAGACAGTTCCAAGAAGGGGAACCCTTTCTTGGACTTGAAAAAAAAACATCATCCAACAGTGGGTCTCCGTTTCAAACATCCCCAATCGCTGGAATATGTTCTATGGTTTATAACTAATCCAGTTCCCTGTTTTGAGTTCAAATGATCGGCCCCCTTTTAGCTTGCAAGCCAATCAAACGGGCGCGGGAACACCTCCATGTCAGTCAAAAGCTTGCGTTTTCGATCCTCATGGCGACAATGCAACTTCCATGGCTCCTTCGTCTTCTTCTCCTTCTTGCCCTTCTTCTCCTTCTTCTCCTTCCGCGTCTTGTGCTCCTCACCCAGTGGCCACGGAGAAAGCTTTCTGTTGCTTGATCTTGAAGGGAACGCCCCAACAAGAACCAGACAAACAAAAAAACTCACCACCAGTGCCACTGGCTCCTTGTCCGAGTCAGTCTCCTCCAAATCCCTGGCCATCTCTTTCTTTTGCTTCTTTTCCTTCTTCTCCTTTTTATCCTTTTTGCTCTTCTTCTCCTTGCCGCATTCCATTCGATTAAGCACGAGAACGGGATGGCGAGCACTGCGGCGCCAAGGGCAGCAAGGCTTGAGGGCTTTGGTCATTGGTCATCCCACATACCTTGTCTCTTAGGGAGGAGAACCCTTCCAGACACTGTCAACGTTTCCCCGCGGCTCCAATCTCGATATCCCCTCATGTCCTCCTCAAACAAACAGCAGGCTACCAATCTTATCATGATTGACACGGAAGCTATGTAGTTGCGTTTTGGAAACCGCCAGTTCTGATCGCAGATGAACATCTGAACATCCATGCTGCAGCGATGTGATTTGCCTCGCCCCTCAATTCTTTCTATGAGATGCCCCTACGGTACAGTCTTACTCAACAGCCGCGCCTTCTTGTCTCTTTTCCTTGGCGCGCGGAATTCAGCCAGCTGGACCTCTAATGATCCCTGTTCTGCCCGTGTCCATCTGCGGCAAGTTATTTTTGGGCAGGGACAGGAAGACTTTCAAGCGATGGTATTGCAAACGATGAATCTTCGATCTTTCCACACGATGCTTGCATCACCCATACTGAACCTTGTCGTTCTGTTCGAGGCCGAGCTTTGGTTGTTTAGAGGGCAACCAAAAGGAAGCCGCGCATGTTAGAGCCCTTTAATTCAATGACTATCATGCGTTCTGTCAGAGCCTAGGGTGTTGCACGTGACCATACAATGCAAGCTGGATGTATCCTCTGAAATTCCAAGATCGCCTCAAAGCGGATCCCTCTAAACGATCCGGACATTGTTATTCTCCGGCAAAAAACAACTACCTTCAACGAACCAAAACAAGAAACAAACTGAACACGCGGGTTGTCCATACATTCCAGGAAGAAAAACACCTCCCGCCCTGGAGTCAAATCCTGGGGTAACAATTTGGAAGCCTTCTAGGCAAAAGAAACATGGCAACCGGCTGCAACAAAACAATCCCCGGGGTCCACGAGGGAACACACGGGGGTAGTCACTTTTGAGGGTACCCATGTGTTGGTGGGTTGAAAGGGAAACCAAAAATAATACCTCCATTTTGGGAGGGGGGGGTCCCCGAAAAAGACACACACACAAAGACACACACACAAAGACACACACACACAAAGACACACACACACACACCGAGACACAGACATGTTGACCTCAAATGATTGAGCCATGAATCCTCTGGTGCTTGGACCCTCTGGGCTAAAGGACCCTTTACCATGCCCACCGGCAAATGAGTCTCGAAATCTATGCTCATTCGCAAACTGAAACGAAAGAAACAACCTATGGTGCAACTCAAACCAAGATAGACTTTGTGACCACTCCAAGCTTGGCAGTTCCCTTTTGGCTCCACATCATCTCTCTGAGTTTGCCGCCATCACAAACCATACGGGTCCTTAAAAGGAATGAAATTTGTTTTGGCCTCCCATTGAACATTGACAACCACAGCCACATGCTCCTTTCTATTGGGTCGTCTCAAAACTGGGGAACCTTCAAATTGGGTGGACTCAACAAAGGGATGTGCATTCTTAAGGAAACACAGCATATGGGAATGAAGACGTCGACGTGGATATTACTTACTTGGGGATTCAACCACTTGTGAGGTGGTTCCCAAGATCTTGAGAACCATGGCCACATGTCCTTCCTAAACGTCCACTCAGACAAAGGAATCTCATGTAGTGGCTGGCCCGAAGCTCCGGCACGCTGCTTCTCCGGACTTGAGCCTATTAACCCAGTCGTTCAGTGACCCTGGTGGAAAAAGGGAACCCTGCTTGCTTTTCTGGGGCTGCCTATTTTTCACTGGGGTCAGCCACCGAACAAAAAGGGAAAGAGGGTGCCGCTGAACCACTGGATGAACAAACAAAGAATCGCTTGCAACATGGCGCCCTGACCATCTGTGCTGTTGCGAACGGGGGGAGGGGAGGGGACGGGGGGAGCTGGGGGGGGAGGGGGGAGGAAGCCCTCTTTCAAAATTGGCATACTAAAGAAGAACCCCTTGCAGGCCAAATATGTTTGGGTGTGCCTTTCTTGTTCGAGGTCCCCTTGGGGTTTCCAAAGGGACCCCAAGGAAATCCAAGCGTTTTCCAAGTTCCCCATTTTGAGACACTCCGGGGCTCCCAATACCAATGGCACTGTCTGCTACATAAAGGGTCAGCAAAAATCATATGATCCATACCCTCGTGGCTTACAATCACTCTATTCAACAACAATATGGGCTGTCTAGCACCCAGATCTCCCTAGGTCCTCCAGTAGAGAGGTTAGAATAAGGGCACGCTTTCTTCTGTAGTCTATTTTAGTAGGCGAACCCTTTTCCAAAAAAAAAAAGGTCAAAGGGCACTACTAAAGGACCTAGTCTCATGAGTTATTCCATACCCTCGTGGTTTCCTGTCGGGAAAATCACTCTATTTACAAACAATATATGGGCTGACCCAGATCCCCTCAAAGCGGAGCTGTCTTCCGCCGAAGCGCCTGTCGGACTCCTCCAGCAAGCTATCGCTGCTGGGACCTTGGTCCGAAGCGCCAGTTTCAGTTGCGGAAATCTCCCCTTGGGGACCTGGAAACCAAAGGTCAACCTCTTTTTTTCCCCCAAGAATGGAACAACATGGGAAAACCAAAAGCTCAAATGGTCAGCTATAAATAACACTTGTCTAAAAACACGACCACCAGCAACACTCTCCGTGTGCGGTGGTAGATATCACATGCATAAAACCTCAGCGAATGATTACCAAGCTTGCAAATGCTAGGCAAGCTGAAGCTGAAAATGCGAGCGAGCCGGCTTGCGGCGAAGCGAGTTTAACACGCTTGGGGAAACCCTCTTTCAAGGCGGCGCAATACACCGCGGAAAGGGTCCCAGGAGCTTTGAATTCAGATTTCCGCTTGGATCCCGAGCCCCATTGGAACACACTTTCTCAACGCAATCGTGGAACCTGCAAGAGCGTCCCTCCTGGAGAAAAGTTGCCTTCGATTGGATCCCTTTGAAGTTCCATGTTTGTTTTTGAGAGGGTAATCCTAGCCTCCACGACGTTGGACACCCATAGGTAGCTACGAATACATGATGCCAGCGATTTGGCCCCCCCCCCCCATGAAAGAGGCATTGGCCATCGCTGACCGCTCGCTGGCTCTTGATCAGCTGGAGCTGGGCTGGGGTGATGTCGGGCCAGCTACTCCCACATCATTACCCATCATCATTATCAACAGCACCAGCACCAGCACCATCATCAGCACCGTCATCATCGGCACCACCATCATCATCATCATCATCATCATCATCATCGTCATCACCATCATCAGCATCATCATCATCATCATCATCATCATCCTCATCCTCCTCATCTTCCTCATCTTCCTCATCATCATCCTCCACCTCATCATCATCATCATCATCACCATCCTCCTCATCATCATCACCATCCTCCTCATCATCACCAGCACCAGCACCAGCACCAGCGCCATCACCAGCGCCATCACCAGCGCCATCACCACCACCACCAAATCATCATCATCACCAGCACAACCACCACCAACCACCACCAACCACCACCAACCACCACCAACCACCACCAACCACCACCAACCACCACCAACCACCACCACCACCAACCACCACCCACCAGCACCCTCCTCCCCACCACCACCACCAGCAGCATCACCACAAATCGTCATTATCCTGGTCATCAGCACCACCATCACCACCACCACCAGCACCATCACCACCACCACCATCACCACCGTTACCAGTATCATCACCATTATCGTCACCATTATCATCAGCATGATCATCATCATTATCATCAACATCATCAGCATCATCACCATCATTACCATCATTACCACCACCTCCACCAGCAGCAGCAGCAGCACCACCACCCGCACCCATCAGCATCATCACCGCCACAATCAACGTTCCCTTTGCATGAAATCAGGTTCCTCTGAGCCAGACACAATTTCAATCGGGGGTGCGCTGGTGAATAGCAGCACCAGGATGTACGCCCACCAAGTCTTTTCAGCTAGCCAAAATGGCCTCAGGCTCCTAGATTCACACGGGATCCAAAAATCGCACCAAGGACTCAACGTATGTTGAACCCCTGGCTAGCTTAGGGAAGTTTTACCTATGGCTTAATGCGAAACCACCAGCAAACGGCCCAACAAGACGATGGGGTCATACCTGCGTGTTTCTCCAAATAGGGGACCCCTAAAACCCTAAGGTTGGTTCTATTTTCATTTCCCTTCAAATACCAACTACGAGGGAGTCCAAGATTGTCTTGAACGAAATGCTATGGCTCAATGGGAAACTTGCTTCCCTAGGGGTGGAGAGAAATCCGCTACATGATGTCCACCAAATTTTCCCTGAGGAAAAAACAAAAACACCTTCCATAGGTTGTTTCCCCCATTGATCGTTTTCGTTGTCGTTTCAAACAGGGTTTCCCTACAACAATATGGATCCATACGTAGAGTGCGATCGCGATCGCTGAGAACCCGACTCATTCGATACGGCGCCTCATGGACCTGTGGCAAAGTTGTCGGAACAAGGCGGTCTGCACACGCGAAGATCACCAACAAACTAGGCTGGCTGGATTGGACATGATTCGTATATAAGCTGGTCCCCCTTTTTTTTTGAACGTCACCCTCACATTGTCGGTTGGTCACATTATGACACCGGACAGCTCACAGCATGTTATTGGATCAAGCAGTTCGGCTGAAAAACACTGTCCCATCATCATCGTGGGCTGGAACAAATGCTCATATTGGCAGCTCCCGAGACTTTTTTTTCAGATACGGGAAATGTCAAGTACTCCCTTGCAAATGGGGTATCCCCAAAAGGATATTATGCGTTCTGAAGGGGAGTTGCTGAAAGGGACCGCTCATCGTCATCCGCAGCTATCTCGAGTAAAGAAGCCCAGGCCGACACCTCGATTCTACTGGTATGATCGCACAGTTCTATGTAGGTCGTCCCTGTAATCCCCACCCTTGATGGGCCAACCGGGATTGTTGGCTCTTCTCAACGCCGAATGCGCTGCCAACAAAAAACACACTGAACTCAGTATTGAACGCAGCGCTGTATGGTAAATCCGGAGTGTCCCCCCAGTTTGTGAAACTTGGGTTGCCCATCCACGACCTCCCCCAGCCAACAGTACACACTATCTGCTTTTTCTTGCTGGTAGCACATATAGGTGTGTGTGTGTGTGTTCTTGAGTGTACCCATGACCAATTTTGCTTGGTTTCAAAGGGAAACCAACAGGACACCAACAATTTGTTTGGCTCCAACAAAAAGACACACCTATATAAACGGACAATATTCTTTGTTCCATGAGACATGGGACTTAGAACGCCCAGGTATCCGACTCCATCCGGAATCCTGACTAACATCTTTTCGGGTCACTCCAAAGCTGAATCACCTCGCCAGTCTCTTCTTTTTCGACAGTACTTGAGACGTTGGACATGAGAACAAACACAGCTGTTGGGGGGTACTAGTGGGTGAGTGACTTTTTTGGGACCCTTTTCGGCTCACTGTCAAGGGAAGGAACCTAAAAAAAAACACACGAGAGGCCTCGGAGCGTACACCATGGGCGCTGCCAGGCCGACGCACCTGCGCCCAAAGCTTGGATGGGCTGAACAAACGTGACCAAACTTTTTGTGATCCACTAAAGTGGAGACACCAAGAGTATACAAAGTCCAACTTGAGTGATGGAACATGTTGCTGGCAGAAACTGCAGATGTTTCTTGACCCCAATCTGTCCAAGGAAGCAGCCAAGTGAATGCGGCTCAAAGGCGCATATCGATTGCTTCAATCGTTTGGTTGAGAAAAGTTGTGCACCTCTTTGCATGCGAAGAGACAGAGTGTGCGTTGTTCCAGATCAGGCTTCAAGTGCCTTGTCCCCACCCCTCCCCCCTCCCCCTCCCCCGCGCCCCCCCTCCCCCCGCCCCTCCCCTTTCCCGCCCCCTCCCTCCTGTGGTTTTGCCTCAAGGTTTCGGACGCTCAATTGTTGGCTTTGGAGCTTTGGGGTGCTGGTGCTTTCCATGCAAGAAAGGGCATCTACCGAAAGTTGGGAGTAGTCATTGCTGTTCGGTATCCTTGCTCTGGCTTCTTTTAAGCAAGAACACACTACAACAGTTTCAACAGGTTCCCCCCACCCTCAAACTGGGCCAAAGCTTCGTTCAAGGCATGCCACTGATGGTGCCCCGCTGGGGCGACAAGGCTAACTCTTGGCCATGCCTCACCTGGATGCGTTACCCAATTGCAAACAAGATGCTGTGCAAGAACAGTACGATTCAAATGGCATCAAGCAGGAGGACATCATTGGACCCTAGTAATGGTTTGGGACGTCACGCAATTCTGATCCCAAATCGCATGGCAAGGGAAACAACTGGCCTCACCCCATTACCGACCTGCTGATGCTTGACCTGCTGATGCTTGACCGTGGCCCCTTTTGTTTTTTCATTGGATGCGCACCCCCAGTGGCGCTGTGAGAAGCCCTCATAGAATGACAGGCCGCCAATCGATTCTGTGCCCATTCGACAAACATGAAGACCAAACTGGGCCCGACTTCAGCTTTTGGGGCTTTGAAATGACGAAAACTGCCAAGAAGCTCAAATTTTGTCAACAGGTAAGACCTTTGGGCGGACGGGCCCATCTGGTTCTTACGAGCCAAGTACACCAGGTGCAAGTAGATACGCGAGCACCGGGGGGGAGGGGGGGGGGGCGACTAAGGAGTGTGCCATCCACTTTCACCCAAAGAAGTCTCTCCCTCCCGCCCCTCCCCCTCCCCCCAGATTCCTAACCAAATTTAGTGTGTTTTCCCCAACTCCAGATTCTCAACAAAAGTCGGGAAGTGTTTTCCCCAACGCCCCGAAGGGGGCGATTCTCCCGGCACCAGGACCACGCTTCGAAGACCCCCGAGGCTCGAGCTGGCGCCGCTCCTGCGGAGTCGATGGTGACCCGTGCTCCCATCCAAAAGTGGCCTGACCAACCCGATCAAAATCAGCCAGGATCTTCTGCTTACTTGGTCAAGTGTCTGCTGCTCGCGTGTTCTTCTTCTTCTTCTTCTTCTTCTTTTTTCTTGTTTGTTCTTTGGGAAGGGGTATTTTGGAGAGGCGCCTTTATTCCTGTAAACCAAATGCTGGGAGGTTCCGATTCCTGACACAGAGGAAACAACAAAAATGGGTTTGGCCAAAGCCGGTTTGATCAACTGTTGGTTTGCTTTGCCCACCCTCGAAGCCATTTCCAGGGCTCGGAAAATAGTCAAGCGACCGTCGTTTTACAACTCAACAGGTACATCTCTACTCTTGGTATGGTAGCAAAAAGCTGACTGTTTTTTGCAGACCCCCAGTAAAAATGAACAGAACCAAAAAACCAAAAAACCAAAACACATGCCCAGAACAGTGAAGCCGACATGCTTACTCCGAACAAGCGGTTCCTCCCTCGACTCCGAACCCCTGCCCGCCTGACTGCGGGGAAGAACTCCAATCGGAGCCGGCCCTCGCGAAATGCAGCGTCTACTGTGGGATCGTGTGCCATGTGCGTGCCAAAAGTGCACCTCTGCCTCTATTTATTTTGTGCGTCTCCTGCAAAAATGATAGCATATGTCCAGTGGCTCAAAAAAAACAAAGGTACCAGAATGGAACCTTGGTAAGTGGAAACATGGACCAAAACCTGCGGTTTGCCCCGCCTGTTTAATTTTGAGCCACACCCATGTGTCCAGTGAGAGAATCAGTTTGAAACCTCACCAACAATTGAACACTTGTGAATTTCAGCACATAGTCTAGAACCCTGTTCGGGGTTGACCAACAAGGGCAACCCACCAAACAACTGGGTTCGGGCAGATCAAACATGAAGAGTTTTCTGGTATCGCCAAATGACTGCGAAAGACTCGTGCCAATCTAGTTTCAGCTGTCTGAAGTTTTTCTGCCTTCACTAGTGCCCGCTCCCTCAAGGGCAGCAAGGCTGTCAGGTTAGAAAGGCAGGATGTTGTGTGGAGTGTCGCCGCGCGGAATTCTTGAATAAAAGGAAGAAGCAAAAGGAAGATGGTTACTTGTACTTTTTGTAGTGACTTGGGGATCTGGGACACCATGCTGGATCTTCATTTTCAACTTCGCTACAAGAAACAGTTTGTTTACACCCGCTTAAAGGGTTAGAACACTCTTTGGAGCTTTGACTAAACAAGGCTAACCTTGTATGATAGCGGGACGGCTACTACGAGGGCCCAAATAATTAAATGGGAGTGTTGGGTCACAAGGTTGGTGTGAAACAACTGTGCTTTCCTTCAAGGAAGCGAAACAAGCACAGACTTTCATGGGTCAAATGGTGCTGCCTAAGCAAAAGAAGGCCACACACACAATCAGTGCTAAGCCTCCAATTCCATCTAGCAAAAAATCCTTGACGGGAACAGGTACATGAGGATTGCTTGATTTGACTGCATACGACATGTCTGAATCTGAATTCCATCCGGGCCAAGAAACATGATGGCAAATCCATCATGCGTGGATTTGGGCCCTGTTTCAGAATGCACGTATAATATTCCTGTCTATGCTCGCTTCGCTTGGAAGGTTCCCAGAATATGGAACCCAACAGCTACGGTGAGTTCACCCTTCAGTGTCCATTCCAATCCAGCCATCTAGGGTCACCAATGTCAGGAACTTGGTGAACACGTCCTGAAAAGTGTGCTCAATGAAACACGCAGACCGGTTTCAGAGACTTTTGCATGGTGGAAAAAAAGAGGATTTATTTCCCTTGCACTGGGCTCCCAAACCCGTTTTTCGAGGAAACACATCAAGTGGCAACCAAAGTATGATACTTAAACCAGCTGAAAGGGAGCGGGACCATGCCCATGACTTTGTTTAAAGGGGGGACTTCCGCTAACGCACAGAAAGTGGCCTAAAGCAAATCCTCGAACATGGCCAGCAAAACACCTTGGTTTCGAAGCTTCAACGGAAAACCCCACGAACGATCTATGTGGGTTGCTCCAAGGCCCCGTGCGCAAAAGGTCGATCACCTTTTGAAGGCTTTTGGGGCCATGCGACACCAAAGACCAGCCTCGATCAGACCATGGGCGATGAGTTTAGGGCTTCCGTACCGGTGCAAAGGCTACGCAGAGTATGGGTCCATGCGAACGCTCGAACATGCTGACCCGCTGGCTTACGAGCTTCAAAACATGGAGGGAATCTTGCGCGGGGCGTGAGAAAACAGGGCCCCCCCTAAGTTGGTGGTCTTCCCCGCGGTCGTTTCCTCTTAACTTGCTGGTTCTCAGTAGGGAATGATGGAACGACCCCTAGAAACCATCCCTTCTGGCTTCCTTTCAGGAAATGCCTAGGTTCATTCCCAAAACCCTGGAGCATTCTCTGAGCACCAGCAAGTTAACGCCACCCAAATCCCGTGCCTGGATGGGCTCAAGCCCACAAAGCCTGGCATGGCTTCTGCAATGGCCCAAAACCTCCTGGAACTCCCCCTCAGTTCTACGTCTCTGAGCACCGGAAATGAAACCACTTGGAACATTCCTTGAGAGAAATAACCCAAGGTGTGTTATGCCTAAAGTTAACTTGTTCACAAGAAAAGGACCCCTTCCTGCAGATTGTGGGACATACAAAGTAATCTGATGGAAATAGAGATCTACCACACCCCCTGGTGTTCTATCAGATTTTCCGCTTTCCCCAAACGAACATCAGGGGCCCTCACCCTCATGGATGTACACCCTGGACTGTCTCACCTGGCTCTGAAGAAGTGTTCAGCTGTTGCTGTGCATAAAAATTGAACCATCTAAACATCGCTGGGTGCAACACACAAATGGACTCTGGATGTATATACCGGTTCCTCAGCACCCGAATCACCCGCAGCGGGGGCGCAGGCGCGGGGCGAACAGCCAGCATGACCCCACAGCTGTTACCCTTCAACAAACAATCCACATACTGTGGATGGACGAAATCCTGCACCACCTAAGGAACCCTGGAATGATGGTTCCCCTGGAAATTCCAATAAACAACGGTTTTGCATGGTTTCTCAGGTGATGCAGGATTCTGTCCAACCACAGTATGGTGTTGGACCGTTAGCTTAATGTCAGTCAAACCAAGGACCCCTTAATTGCTCGGTGTGCCGGCTGGCTTTTGACGCCATCCCAACAAGTCTGTAGGATCCGTCCGAAGGCCACAATCCTGGTACCGATCAGCCGATCATATCACGAACCACGGAAAGTGGGGATTAAACCTTGAATTTGAGCAGATATTTATCGCAATCCGCTAGATGTTTGTTGGAGACACATGAAACGCATGGATTCACCACCCTCTTTCCAACAATCATGGAAGTGGACAAGGGGCCTCTCCAGAAGGAAGGTAGTCTTCCAAAACCCTCCGATTGTTCGCTCTCAAGTTCGGAGGGTATGCAATGAGTCAGCATTGAGGACCCTCCAACTTGTTTCGATGCGTGGGACTGCCTGTTGA